CTCAACCTTAACTTTTACTTATTTTTTAAGATGATAAATATTATATTTTTGTGTATTTTACCACAGTAAGAAAAATTAAAAAAAAAAAAAAAGGCATGCAGCACTCCCTACCCCATGACTGAGTCCCCTGGAGCCTTTATTTCTCAGTCTTGTCCACACTGAGCTTCCAGCCATTCATCAATGGTTTCTTTACCCAAAACTGGTTTCCATGGAGGCTTCTGCTCAGTAAATTATGATTTCCTGTGTCTGCCTGTCTTAGCTTTTACTTTTGGTTATAGTGCTTAGACACAATTGTGGTTTGTTTTGTCCATAAAGATATGCAGTTATCTTAGCATTATTTGTTGAGAAGACTGCTTTTCCCAATGGGTCCCTCTATTTCTTTTATCAAAATTCAGTTGACCACCCAAGTGACAGTCGATTTCTGGAATCTCTGTTTTACTACCTTGTTCTTTTTGTTATCCATATTCCAGCATTGTCTTGGCTACTGTAGTTATGTAGTAAGTTTGTAAGTTCTCCAACGTAGTCCCTATTTACAAGATTGCTTTGGACATTCTGGAATTTTCTACCAGCTACAGAATACTGAGAAAATACCCCATCTACATTAGCTTCAAGCATGTCCTAGGTAAAATATGGAAAGAGTGCTTACTTCTCACAAGTGGTGGGATGATTTAAAGATAATCCACACAGGACGGCGCCTGTGGCTCAAAGGAGTAGGGCGCCGGCCACATATACCGGAGGTGGGGGGTTCAAACCCAGTCCCAGCCAAAAACTGCAAAAAAAAAAAAAAAAAAGAGAGAGAGATAGTCCACACAAAGTTTTCAAGTATAGAATAAGCTCTTTGGTATTAACACTAGCTTTTATTATGCTGCTACAATTATATGGGTAGCTAACTAATAAAAGAGGGTGAATCTAACCATGTTCATAATTCTAAATGGTTTATAATTATGATTTTATTTATACAGTAACTGAGCTATATAAATAAAAGAGTATGGAACTAGATTTAAAATTTGAAGTAGAATTCATGTGTTTCTTAGCCAAAGTCCTCCACTTAATTCTTTCATTAGGTTGTTGTAACTCTTGTATATAGTTAATTTCAATGAGTCATTAACCTCAATTTCCGAAGTCATTTTGGGGGCATAACTTTATAGTATGCAACAACATTTTCAATATAAATAGTGCTTTTTCTGTTATCCTGTAATGAATCTAACAGAACTGGGAAACTATTATTTAGAAAATAGTGAAATATGTACATATTACACAATATTCAACCCATTTGATAAGCTAGAAATAGATGCCTATTTTTATTTCAAATCTTTTAAACTTCCTATGTAAATATATTTTCTTCTACAGTATTATTGGCTAGATAAGATCATAATCATATACCTCCTTAATTTCAGTGCCTTTTCCAAATGTGATGAAACCACTTGTGCTTAAATGCAAAGATTACTTTTGTATCATCAAAATTCATGCAGTTTAACTCTCTTGGAGTTCATATGGAGATGTAGAGCAAAATTTGCACTCTATTTGTAGAAAAATGTACTTTTCTCCTATTTAGCATGTGATAGATGTATAGATACTGTACAGAACAGATAGATTATGTGTACATTTATATGTAAATTCAGATGCACCCACAGTTATAGATGCTGATTTTGGATGATTCAGCTATGGCCCGTGTTTCTGTCTGTGTTCACAATGAAATTATGCTACACTACCATCAGCTTGAAGTATTTTGGTTTCCATATACATGGTAACCTAGTTATGATTTTTTTTTTTTTTGGCCTATGAAAAGTTAATTTATACCATAGAAAAGCTTACACATTAGTTTATAGTAATTAAAATTACTATGATTAGTTTATTAAACTTTTAATTAGTCTATTAGTAATTTTCATATTCATCAAAACATTTCACTACCCTAACATGTTCGTTTGAACAGAGAAGAAATTCTCCAAATAGTCAATGGTTTTTTTATAGACCCTTTAACTGGACAATCTTTTCATAATTAATTTTAAATTACTAGTGTCTATTTGCCAGAAGTTATTTGCTCAAATAATGGATACTATTAAAAATACACTGCTATGTTTAATAACATTTGTATTATTGATTACTACATGTAATTTTATCAAATTAGCAAAATATAGAATGAAACTTCTACAATTCAAAGCCTTAATAACTTAGCACTGAGGGCATTTGGCATTACTCTAAAAAGCTACCACTTTGCTGATGTTTTCATTTCTTACCCTCCCCAAACCTCTAATGAAGTGGTTCTCAACCTGTGCGTCGCAACCCACAGGAACTGTATTAAAGGGTCGCAGCATTAGGAAGGTTGAGAACCACTGCTCTAAGGCCTACAGAGCTACAGAATAAACATCCCACCCCCTGGGACTTGGCTTAAGTCACAGATCACAGTGAACTATTTCAGATCAATCATGTTGATTTAATTTACAGGATAGAAGAGATTTGTAAGTAAGACAACAATTCTTCAAAAGCAAAAGATTCTCATGAATCTTAATTTCCTTCTGATGTTTTTGTTCTGGGTCATTGTCATTGATGATTAAGTTTTTTTGGTCGTGGTTGTTGTTTGTAAGGTAGGTGGTTAACTTAAAACGTCCTAAAGGTTAGGAAACTTTGCAGAGTCTGTATCAGCTTCTCTATCACGGCCATTTATGGCAAGGGCTGTGGATTAGTTAGTGCAGGGGAGAACACCAACGGGGACTGGGAAATAAGATAGGGGCAGAGATCCCGTGAATGTCTCATAGTGCTTTCCTAACCCATACTTATCTCCCTTAATCCATATAGCAATTTCACAAATAAGCATTATAATTGTCAAAGTAGAGGTGATGAAATGGATGGTGCTGGGCAACATTCCTGAACCCAATCCCAGCCACTTCTCAATCTTTCCTCTTAGAGAGGGATCCCCCAAGCAGAAAAGCACTCAGCTTCATGACTGCATTGGCAACAAATACCTGAGGTCTAAAATGAATATAAATATAATAAATATTTTCTGGTTCGATATTAGCAATTAATAAAAACAAAATGGAAAAATGCAAACACCCAGAAATACTTAATGTTCCTTTTCCAAAGTCAAACATATATTTAACCTTTTGCACATTTCATGTCCTTATTCAACCATGAAACATACAAATAATAACACCAACCTATTACCCTGGGAAATCAACTAATCCATAACCATATTAATTATTGGATATAGTAAGTGTGCTTTTTTTTTTTTTTTTTTTTGGCCGGGGCTGGGTTTGAACCCGCCGCCTCCAGCATATGGGGCTGGCGCCCTACTCCTTTGAACCACAGGCCCTGCCTGTTACTGTGCTTTTTCTCCCATTTATAAGTTCACCAATTGTGCTGCTTTTACTATTAGATGGATAACTTGTTTTAGAACATTAGCTTATTTTAATTCAGTTCTAATCTGACTGCTGTGTGAATGGTTCAGTCTTATCCAAAACTTATAATTACAATTAGTATTTAGATCATATTTAAAACTTACACAATTAGTATTTAGATGATGAGCAAATGGAAATAGTAGTGGCCACAGATAATCGCTCTCAAGGTGTTATGGGTTTGACAATGTATTGGGAAAATCAATTATAAAATGCACATTTTAACATTCACAGTTTGAAATTTTTATACTGTACATAACATGTTAGCAGTAAATTTTACTAAGTAGGATGATTTTTTTCTTTTGAAATACTCAAATGTTTTCTGCAAAAGATGTGGGTTTTCACTTATGAAAATAACATACAGGCATTTTTTTAAAAAATCAGATATATGCAAAACCTTACCTTTCCAGGGATTATAGGAAGGCATCCAAGGGGCCCCTAGTGGTGAAAGTTCCAAAGATGCTTTGGTGAGTGAAAAAAGCACCACCACAGAGTGAAAATGTTGAAATCACTTCTCACTGCTGGCTCTGCTCCTTCAATACCACTTTTAAGCCTTGAAGTCCAACTTCAAGTCTAAGAATGAGCTGAACTTCAGAGATCTAACCATTTCTTTCTGCAAAACGACTCTGAATACATTGCCTTGAAAAAAAAGAAAAAATCAGCTGCTCTGGATAATGGCAGATGTGAGCCTAAAGAAACCTTCCCTGGGTTAAGGTCCAGGGTCGAGGGGAACACAGGTGTGTACAACCCCAGGACAGAGCACTTACCCCCGAAGAACGACTCTTGGATACTACTAATGCTAGCACTTTTTACTGCTGAATTCTAGCCTCTCTATTCTGTCTTTGCTTTTTTCCTTTAGTTTTATATTTGAAGGTAATTTCGATACTGCCTCTGTTTTGTTTTGTTTTTTTGTAGGTACAACTATCTAAAACCTTTCTTCCCCTCATCAGTTCTTTAAGCATCCCATAATCACATCGGTACCCTCTGTTTAATCTTTGTGTATTAGCTTACATTTTACATTTCTTTCTCAGACTAATGCCACTCATTCTGTGGACATTTTAGGGGGCCAGGAGAGGTTAGATGCCATGGGAAATGTCTTAGTTCCTTATTTCAATGAATTCCTAGAGGTGTAATAAGGACTTTGGATTTTTCAAGTTTGCAGAATGTTGACTGTGCTTGCCTGGAAGTTTCTAACATGAATGATTTTCATTAAAGCTCTCACCTTTGCAAGACAGAGACTCTTTTCGGAGGACTACACACGCCCTAGATTGTAATTATTAAAATTCTGTTATTCCTGTGGATCATACAGAATGGATTTAAACAAGTAAACTTATCCCAATCTCTGTTTCAGGAGCACTGTGAAGAGAAACAACATAAACTGTTATTAAATTATTTTATAAATGAGGGTAAACAATTCATGTGAACAAATGAAGGTATTTATAAAGCGTGAACAGAGAAGGCAATCTGAAATGTCTCTAAAACTCATTTTGGCTATTTTTGAAATGGCTAGAATTTTTATTTATACCTTCCTGTAGATCTGGCTGGCTGGTCTTTTAGTTCACCAGGATTTTTCTCTTTTCTATTAATAATTCCCTCGCCCACCTTTAGACTTGAATCACCAACAAGATCCTTGATAATGGAAGCTCCCCGGGGGGTCCAGGTGAGCGCAGCTGCAGGAGACTTCAAGGCCACCTGCAGGAAGGAGCTGCATTTGCAATCTACGGAGGGAGAGGTGAGTCCCAGGGGGCAGAGACTGGGCCTTTACTAGTGGTGAGAGTGCGTCTTCTCAAATTGTACACATGGACTCTGAGGGGAAATGTGAAGAACTAGTTTGTGAGAAAGTCTGAATTCTGAAAGTATTAATACTTCTCGAATAGGAAATTTGGTAAGCCTTATGTTAGTCTTTAAAATTAAATGCTCTTATTTTCTACTGAAAAATATTATTTACTTATCAATACTTACATTACTTAATATAATCTACTTATTTTCTCCTGAAAAATATTCATCAGTGATAAGTGGGGCATCTAAATCTCTCTAGTTTCAGAATCAGCAGATACACATATTAAGATAATATCAAGACTGAAGTCAGCCTTTGTTGTTTGTTTATTCTCTTTTGTTCTTCAAAAAGGTCTTCCCAAAAAAGTACCTTGGTGGTTTCTGTAGAAAGAGTGCCTATATTTTTCTAAAAGACAAAGTTTATTTTATCACGTATCTTACTGGTGTTTCCTGGATAAGGATATAGATCAGATGTTAATTTTTTTTCCCATGTCACTTTTTCCCCTTAAGTATTTCCATTACGTGTTATTTTCATTCCTTAAAACACTATTTTTTAAACCACTGCTTGTTCAAAATAACCCTTCATCCTTGATATCCCAATGTTCCAGTCTTTCACTATAATGTGAGAGGTATATGTAGATTTCTTTTTTTTTTTTTTTTCAATTTTTGGCTGGGTTTGAACTCATCACCTCCGGCATAAGGGCCAGCATCTGTCTACCCAGAGCGATAGACTTTTTTGAGACTGTTTTCAAAAAAAAAATTGTGATGGCCATGCCTCCAGATTCACTTTTTTGTCAAATCTGGAAATTCCTCAGCCCTGTCTCTTTAGATGTTTACTCTCACACATTTTCTCTACGATCTCTTGATGACACCCTGATGAGACATTGTACCTTTCTGTGTTCTTACCCTCGAGATCTCCCAGCCTCTCCTTCCCAGTTTCTGCTTCTGTAGTTCTCTGTCCTTGAATCTGTTCACTGATGTCTCTCTCCGCATAGAATTCAGGTCGATATTCTTGAGTTCCTGCTGAGTATCTAGTCTTCATACATTGAGCTTTGAATTTCTAGGAGTCTCATCTGTTCTCTTCCAAATCTGTCTGGACATCTTGCGCGTTGCTCTTTGGTTTTTCACTCTCTCTGAATTGTTCTAAGTGCTGACACATGATTTTTAGAATTCTCCACATGAAGGTCCGCCTCTATTGTACGGTTCCAACCAATTCATTTCTTGAGTATCTTTTTGACTTGTATTTATTATAAACTCACAAAAATCAAATTGAGAACAGAAAAGATAAGTGGAGTGAGATGCTTTGGACCATTTTACAACCTCCGCAGGTATAACGATGAAGACATAAATTAATGGAAGCAAAATGGGGATATTCTTTTTGTACCTTTATGCCATTATCTCAGTTATTGTTTCAAAACAAATTTTAGTATTTATTTTATAGGACCATATTAGTGTCTTAGTGGATATTACAACCACAATGATCTAGAACTCTGCTTTATACTATTTTTAAACTATATCCATCTATCCTTTCAGGATTTCTTTCTGCTGTAATTGCTGAGCACAGTAATTTGTCTGACACAGCAAGAGAGAAATCTTTCCTAGGCATCTTTTTAAGGAGTCGCTTTTCTTATGCTAATTGTTTCATTCAAATTATTCATAACAAATGATGCCAGGATACCTATCAGTGGATATGAATCTCTGCCCCAACTTACATTCTTTTATTCAATATACAGCTGAATCCTTTGATTCAAATACAGGTCGACATTTGTCAACTAAGTATTATGCTATAAATAAATCATGGCCAGAGGTTTTTATCAGTGGTTTAACTTTTATATTAATACAGAAAGGCACAGAACTTTATATTAAAATAAAATAGAATGCAATTTTCTCATGAGGAAGTATGAAATAATATAAAATCTTTTTTGCTACATTGACTATGCCCAAGAAAAGCAGAGTGATCATTTACTGAATAACAGAGAATGATATAAAGCCCCTGTCCTTAAACTACTTAATATCAGAGCAGACATGGCATTGAGCTTTCCAGAATCCAGATGAAATGTAGAAGAATGAAATTGTAACTAATTGTACATGGAATATTTGAAGTGCTATAATGGGGAGTGCAACACGATTAACACATAAGGTATATGCCACAAGATCAGAGGGGAAAGAAAACTATTTTTATTTGGAAAATCACTTAGTATTTTCTATGAAAGTGATGTGCCTGATTCCAACAGCTCAGTGAATTCTTGGTAGAGCAAAGACTGTGATTTAATAGCTCAGAGGGGTGATTTTGAGAACAAGGAAGAATTTGGGGAAAAAATGGATTCTATGGCTTACTGGGCAATGTAGAATAGAAAACACCAGTGTTAGAAGTTGGAAAATGAACAGCATTAGAGTAAGTAACTCCATGGGCAGAATAGAAAAAGACAGGGCTGAGCCTATCCACGTGCCCGGGAATGTAGTGCAGGAAGGGAATACACAGAAAAGTCCTTTTTACCTTGGGGCTGACTTTTCTATCTCAAGCCAGGAAAAATGTACTTTTTTTTTTTTTTCTAAGAACCCCATATAAATGAAGTTATCTATTAATAAAGTCTACCTTTTTTTAATATGAGTGAAGCTCCAGTTTGGATATCAGAAGCTTAGAGTCTTAAGTATTGTGCTCTAGCCCACTGGAGTAACTCTAGAAGAGCTGGAGACCAGCCCCTGGCTATGCTGCAGCAGCCTGCACGCCAGGCCCAAGCCTCACTCCATCAATGAAGTTGCCACCTGCCAACCTAGCTGGGTTAAAAACCTTCCACTGCAGGTATTCACCCATTGACGCTATACCCATTGAAAGACAACCAGTTCCAAAAATGTACCAGGCAGAGTTGTAAGCCAGACCCTCAGAGCCACTGGGGCTCACTGTGATACATATTCTCTGTGCTTACAAATGAATGCACTGTTCATAATCTTAGAAACACTGATCCTACCCGTGGGCCTTCCCTTCTGCATGTCCATTAGCTTGGAATAGTCCACTCCTTCTTATCAATGTCTCAAAATTTCTTGGCCTAAACAAGTTCCTAACATTTTTTTAGACCTAAACTTTACCTTCCAGAGCTCGTTCCTGAATTCTTGGGCCATTGTCAAATCTCAAGGATGCCTGCTGTCTACCAGCGTGCTAGCTCCTGCTTTTTGGTGTGACCTTTGGGCCTCCGACCTTCTCACTCTGGGTTTCTGCACTGAGCAACATCAGTAAGTGAAATGCCAAGGGTGAGCACAGGGAGGAGAGATGACTCCTTCTATTGGTTGAATTTAGGAGGACGTAAACTTGCACAGCTCAGGTCCTTTGCCCCGCTTCTTTTCAGGAGCTGGCATGCTTGTGGACAGCAGGCATGCTCAAGCTTGAGACAGTGATAACTTTTTTATTTTCTAATGTGAAAGTAATAAGTGCACAGAATTATTAAAGAATCAGAACAGTCTTTGCTTTCCTGTGCCTTAACCCAGAAATAACTAGGGGATAATCTATTTTGACATCTACAACCCTATGTTTTCCTCTCTAACCTTGAATAGTGGTGATAAATGCAGCCCTTTGTTTGATAATTACGTGTATTATATAAAAGGTTCAGGTGCAGGGCCACATACTCTGGTACCTTAAGGAGAACAGAGTTTACTAGGGAAAGTAAGATATAAACAGGGCGCTAAGATAACCTATCAAGTGAGCAGCAGAATAAGATATTAAAAGTACTAAATCGTGATGGGAGAGCCTAATAAGAGTTCTTCCATTTTGAAGAATGAGGAAAAGATCCATGGAATAGAAAACAAGTGAAATAAGCTTTGACAAAGTGGAAAAACATTGGGTCATGCAACTCACACTGCACAATTCTACGCGTTGTTCTAAGATCTTGATAGGTCTTCCTTGCACTGGAAGAAGGTCGTCCTTGCATGTGGAAGCAGCACTCACTGAACAAATACAAACTTAACGTTATGAAGGAATCATTATAGAAAAAATTGTACCTATTAGAAATAGACTGCTTAGGAAAGTTCTTTCTGACAAGGTACATTTTATGAAAGATTGGAGAAAACTGGCTTATCTACGCTTACAATATATGAATTCTTCTTATGGCTCAGTTGCGTAAGAAATAGATTCCTAAACAGTGGAAATCTCCTTCCCACCCCTCTTCCCCAACCGTCCAGTTGATAGCTTACTCTGTTTGTAAACAGCTCCAGATACCTACAGCCTGAGGAACCAGAGAGTAAAAAAGCCTGAGGCTACAGAGGTTTTGATAGTTATACTCTTGGAACTTGGGCCAGAAGGAAAATTACCGGGAAAGAGTGAGAGGCAGGCTCGATTCTGTAGGGTCTGTGGACCATGGAAAGACACCAGGATTCATCTCAAGGGGAGGGGAGGTCAGTAGAGACCTTGGAGCCCTCAAGTGCCATAATTGAATTGCATTTCTCAAAAGTTCACTGTGGCAGTAGGTGAAACTGCTGCTGAAAGGCCCTTTAGGGAACTACTCCAGAATTCCTCATGCACCTAAGATTTGGAGGAGGGCAGAAAAGGCAGTATCTGTTTTCCCTGTCGATTTAGCGATGCCCTTTAGGCAATCATTAATTAGCTCCATAGTGAGGGGATCAAACAGCTAGAGAGCTGTTTCTTTGCTCATTCAATTTCATGGTCCCATTTTCCCTTTTCTGGAGCTTTCTCCAGGCTTGTCAAATTGCTGCTTCTGAAAATGGTGAGTCTATGATTTAGAAGAAGTTCTTTCCCAAGTTAGAAGATTGAGTAAAGTAGGGCATGAATGCAGCACATGTCTCATGGAGAGAGTTCAATCTGATTAATGACATTGTTCATTATCTACTTGGTGGAACCTTTGGACTGAAAGTCAACAGACTTTGATACCTATTTGAAATAATGTCCATCTCTTCACTAAATGTTATCGGGGTCTAAACATCCTACAAGTTAGACAAGGCCTTCTGTAACTGTTTGCATCACTCTGTCTTCTCCCCCCTGCTCCTAGGATACAAACTACTTTCTAAGTTGCTTCTGTGGCCTTATTACCAGGTCTTTTTGCTGTTGGAAAGAATTGTCTTTGCTTTTGTTTTTCATCTTTTTAACTTTTCCAGTACAAAGCTTCTTCCTCTAATTTAAAATATCATGGTCCTTGTGAATAGTATAGGGCCAATGGGCACCAACATTCTTTAATGTTGATATTGCAATATCACCAAGCAAACAAAACAGCTTTAGCAGAAACAAGATAATATTATCATCCTCCTCTAAAAAATAGATCAGATTTTTTTTTTAAATACCATCCATCTCTTTACTCATGTTATACCCACTACCACCCTTATTTCTTTGTCTATTCTTTAGACTATAAGAGTTAAATGGAGAGACCCTGTAAAATCATTAATTTTCCATGGTATTTGAATAGCCCCTTAAGCAGCATGTATAATACTGCATTTCAGATTGAGGGTTTTCTGTCAGAACATGCCATCTCTCAAAGGAGAAGATGACTGCAGTGCTTTGGAGCCATACCATACAAATGTAATTTGTTCAACAAAGCACGCCGCCAAGCCTACAGAACTATTTGCTGTGTCACTCTACTTAGACCACGTCGGGGAAGGAAGCAGATTACGCAGTGCTCTTGGGAATACAGATTACTATGGATAAATTAAAATGCCCTTTCTTTCTCCCTAGATATTTTTAAATGCAGATACAATCCGGCTGGGAAATCTACCGACCGGCTCCTTTTCATCTTCTTTACCCAGCTCCTCAAGTTCTCGACAGACTGTGTATGAACTCTGTGTCTGCCCCAACGGCAAACTGTACCTTTCTCCAGCCGGACTCAGTTCCACTTGTCAGGCCCGTAGCAACATCTGCTTGTGGAGCTGAAGCGACTGATGTCTCCTCACACCAGAATAGCCTTTTGTTCCTGTCCGTCTGCTTCACACTTCTGCTCGGTTTCCCTTGTGATCAGTGAGAGCCGCTTCCGATGATGGTCCACAGAGCGACTTCTTCCAGCATGAGCTGGGATCTGCCGCCACCTGCTCTTGGGAGTCACAGCCCTGCTCAACCCAGAGAGTGTGAGTGACACAGCAGTGCAAAAACCGCTGTCAGCAGGACAACTGGATCATAACTTTTGCTCAGAAGGGAGAGTAACATAGGTGCCTTTGCTACATGCAGTGAAGCACACAGTTTTAGATTTTTGCAGGACTTGGATATGAACTGCACATCTAGACATCACATAGACAAAATTCCCAGTGTCCAATGGCGAGATGAAATGGTTAACCCTGTAAGAAAACCCACCCCACAGTCTCAAAGCACAATTTTTCCATTCATCTTTTTTGGATGTAGACTTTTATCCCCAAATTTTAAAATTTTGAAACATTCTGTAATGCTTGCTTTACTAAAAATTAAATTCAGTACCTGGTTTTTAACGAAACGAGACAGGATCCCGCCCCGAGTTTTCCTAGTTTCTTTGGATTCAGTGTGTTGTTATTCTTTGTCTACTAAGTCTAGAAATTTTGTACATTAGGTAATTTTGAAAGCACTGAGCAATATAATCTTTACAGAATTAACAAAATGCCATTATACAGTCATTTGCCAGATCTGGATGGCCTTATAGAGTATTTACTTGGCTATTGCATGCAACGTACTTGCTTTTAACAAAAACATCTCATTTATTGTAATAGGAGATAGGATTAGAGGGGCATACTGAGGAATGACGGGGATCCACAGGTCACTTCTTTCTTTAAACCTTCACAAGCTGCCCTTCACAAAAAGGTTTTAATACTACCATTTTTGCTTGTTCCATTTACTCTGGGAAAATTCAATCATCTTCTCAATAATAAACACGAATGTGATGCATAATTCTGAGAATGGATTCACTTTCCATGGGGATATCATCTTCAGAATTATTCTCCATTTATTTTTTTTTTACTGGAGGTTAAGATTTAAGGGTGGGAGGTCTAAATTAAAAATTCCAAACTAGGGCGGCACCTGTGACTCAAAGGAGTAGGGCACCGGCCCCATAGACCAGAGGTGGTGGGTTCAAACCCGGCCCCAAAACTGCGAAAATAAATCCCAAACTAAAGGCAAATGCTAAGAAACAAATTGAAAAATGTGTCTATTCCCACTGATTTAGATTTCAAGTAATTTGGTCACCATTTCTATTTAGCTATTAATGCTTAGTTACATTTATGAGACTGCTTAGCTGCCCTGACGTCAGAAATCATAGTTCTTTTCATGCTCCAGTGCTTATTTTTGTAAATTAGCTCTTAATAAACAACTCCAGAATCCTGTAGATTCATTTATCACAACATTCCCTAACTCAAATTCTTGAAACTTACAGAATCCAAGAACCTATTAAATGTTTCCTATTATGGGAAGATCACATGATTCCTGTAAGGTAAGTCCTCAGTTTTCACATGTCAATCATTCTTTATCCCCCTACACCCATGTTTAACACATGGGTTGAAGCTTCATTTTGAGGGTGAAGGGTGTACAATGTTTGGATTTCAGATCTATACAGCTCAGAATAAAAAGAGATTTAAGCTTGTTGAAGACATTTGGTTAGCGAAAGTAGGATTAATGCAAGCAGAAAAGGGGATCATTAGGCCACGATTATCTTGTTTGGATAACTAGATTTTGAATAATTGAAAAAGTTGTATCCTCAGCAGAAGGATTGGAAAGCTAGCTCACTTTTGTTTTTTAAAATAAATTTTGACTTGTGTTTGAGGGGCTATTATATAAATCTGTAAATCGAAAGTGGAGGAAGAACTAAGATATAATTGTTTAAAATTTAATATGATAAATTCTCACATTAGTCTTTGCAAAATTCTCGAAGTGTAGCGAAAAAAAATTATCGGTGCTAATTGCCATGTTATGGGAAACATTATGTATTAATTTGAGACATATTCAAGTTGTAATCTTTCCTAAATTAAAACAATTGGAAAGTTTCTTAGACAGGAACAATGCTTTTGATTAGCAATTGGCCCTGTTTCTAATCTCAGCTATCTTCTGCTAATCAATTGAGCTGATTTAGGCAGTCTGGGAATCTCTCCAGGCTTCAGTTTCCTCGACTTTACAACAGAATAGCCAATCAAATGGTCTCTTGAGCTTCCTGCCAGTTCTAATTACAAGAACAATTATTATAGGTTGCAGAAGAGACCAGTGAAAATTTAAATTATATGGCACAGGAGAAGAAAAGATGGAAAGAATAAGGAGGAAAAAAAATGTAAAAACCAATTCCCGTGAGGGTTGTCAAATTTTTAGTTCAAATATATTCCCAAATTATAGACACAATTCAAAAATTATATACAAGCTGGAGAGTTTTAAACTATATCCAGATGATATAAAAATATCTGTTCAACTTAGTAGACCAAAATAACGATGGAGATGGCTTTTCTATCCAACACTAAATAATTGGCTTAAATTACTTGATTAGTTGTTTTAGTTTCCCCAGAATCTACATGTAGACCCAGCCTCAGAATTCGAGGTCCCTTAGTTGCCCACTAGTCAAAGTGATTTATATTTGTATTCTCAGTACCATCATTATGATGCAACATATGTAAATATAATGCTGTTTACATAATGTAAATTTTATTGTCCCTAAATGACACTCAGAAAAAGATTCCTTTGAAGTGTACTACATGGGCCCTGCTCAGCTGTCTTGTGATCTGTATCTTAATAACTTCATACTCAGTTTAGCCAAGGAAGGAAAGGCAGAAAGAGCATTGGTAATCCGTATTCCTAGCATTGAAGTTCATTGCCAGAAATGGATAAACTGGGAGGTATGAATCAAAAAGAGAGAGATAAGGACACATTAACCTTTTCTTCTTCAGACTATTATAATAAAACACTTTAAACAACAACAAAAAGATCTTCCAAATATTTCTGTTCTTTTACTCAATACCTTCAATATTCCTACCCTGTACATATTAGTCCTATTTTTTTATTTTATTATGAACCAAATGGAGAGTTACAATAGAGAGTTATATAGATCACGTGTATAATTATCTAAGGATTTAAGATAATTGTACACTTACTCCAGATCTCAGCAAAGGGAGGCAGGAGTTCCAGCTCCAGTTTCACTCCTGGGCAGCCATGTGAAATTCTGTAAGAAATATTTATTAATCTTAACCACAGTTTGCTTATTTGTGAGAAGGATACAGCAAAATGGAAAGTCGTATTGGTCACTTTCATCTCTAAATTTTACTGATTCATTTAAAAAAAAAACAAACCTTGAGGTCAGTAGCCTGATCAGAGCTAGCACACGTCATTTCTTCCCGTATCTTAAAAATCTGCTCCTTGTGACACCACCACACTCTGAGGGAAACAAAATGAGACTCTATCTCCAAAAAAAAAAAAAAAAACTGCTTTTAAACGTTGAAATGCAAATCCTCTTTGCATCCTACTGACTGTACACTCATCTATATTCCCTTATTTGCTCTTACCATTTGAACATTAAGGTCCCTTTGGAAAAAAATCATGTTTAATGGATAGACTTCAGCAGTGTAATTGATATGAGAAAGGGAAAGAATGTCATTATGTAGAATGACTATTTAGGAAATTAGTAGAAGTAGTTACCAAATACAGACGTTCTGTTGATCTTTCCATTAAGCTAAAAACCATTGGTCTTTTTCAAGAAAGGTAACAGGATCACAGGGATCAATTACTGAATTTTTATGGCATTTTATGCCTTCCCAAATTCCTCCATAGGGTATCAGACAAACGCCTCAACCAGACAATGCCTCATCTTACCAAAATGGTATTTACTACAATAAGATGCCAAATGAATTATGCCCTTGCAATCATGGTGTCACTGTATGGGGCAGCCGTTGCCTGGAGAGTGTCTAATGCTTATTAGTATCATATTTTGTAGGAGCTGTCAATATAATAGTATTATATGATTAAAATAGTCGAAGGTATTTAATGGCCAAATAATGTTCAAAGCCGAGTTCATATTGAGTTTTATATGAGTGAGGTTTTGTCACCTTATTCTTCCAGTAGCTTTTGGTCTGATTATAATTGTTCATGAGACCAAATTCAAAAAAAACACGCTCTATATACTGGCATATATTATAGTAATGAATATTGTAAAATATCATAAAGTAAAAAGACACTATTTTTATTTTTAAACAATTACAAACTAAGGAATAATATGGTCTGATTATACTTGTTGATGAGACCATATTCATAAATACATGCTCTATATACTGGTATATATTCTAGTAATGAATATTGCAAAATATCAGAAAGTAAAAAGACACTGTATTTTTATTCTTTTTAAACAATTACAAACTAATGAATAATATCATTGAACGATGTTATTCATCTTGTTTTATATTGCAGTTCATTAATCATTTAAACGTCAAAGACCAAAGACCAGGATAGCTATTCTATTTAACTCTAAAACACTGCTGCTTCTATTAATTTATTCAAACAAATAAAGGGGCTTGTAATTATTCCACAAGATGGTAAACATTCTCCTTGCAGGATTCTGAGCTGTAGACGTTAATTAATGCTTTTGTTATAGAAGGGAAACTTGGTCAACGTGGTTCACTTATGGTCTATACACACACACCAAACTCCTGTTCTTCATAAAACCAGTATATAAAGACTATATTAAAAAAACGGGCCCAAGATGAATTTACTCAGCTGAGTTGAAACTTGCAATGCCTTCTAATACTTACTTGGGAAATATATTAATTTGAAATACTTTTAGAACCATAGGGCTATATTTTTAAGCGTTCATTGAGGTGGCTCTGCTCTTTGAGAAAGTCAAGGAAAAACTTCAAGGGAAATGAGGTACAATGAACTGTGATTCTTTTTGCTTTGTTTTTCTTTTTTCAATCTTACTATCTCATTTGTTTGAATATTTATAAATCAAAGCCAAACAGGGTTAAAGACATGCAAGGACATTCACTCACAATGGAAATATGTAATTTACAGTTGGAGCGTCTCGTTATTTATACAATTCTTTCAATCAGGTCCACTATTCATTTATTTTGTTTTGTACTTTCATGTAAATGTTTCCTTGTATATAGAGATATATGAAAATGGAACTATTTTCTTACACATACTATGCAACCTGTTTGTAAAATTGCAATATTACCAAAATTACAAAAGCTGTGCTTTTGTACTCTATCTTGCTTTATGTAAACTCAACCTTTTTCTATTTACGGACGGACTGTCCTATAAACTGTAGATAACATATCTATTCAAAAATCAGTCTGTTGTATCTTTTGTTTAGATTGGATCGGGGTCTGTTTTGGGGGGGGAGGGGAGAAAACGCAGCAAAGTTTTCGCAGCTGGAAACTTTTTTTTTCCTTCATCAATGAGACCTTTTAAAGCATGCAATGAGCTCATAATTTAATCTCTCTCCTGTAATTCTTGTATTTCTGTCCTAATTTTGGTGCTACTGTGTAACCATGATTAAATG